ATCGTGGAAAGTGTAGCAAGTGTACGGTCGTGCTGCGTTTATCATCTTCGGATAACATATATTACTAGTTGCAAAAGGTACAGTGTGCGAGGTGTTGTATGAGCTGCGGAAATCTTGCAGGTAATCTATTAGACCAATGTGTACTTGTGAAGGGTTAAATAAAATCTGTTTCTAATGCTGTTTTTAGAGGATTTTAACAAAGGTCTCATTAGCTATCAAGTTCAACACAAAAATACCGTTGAAAAGTTTTGTAAGAATACAAAGACAGACAGACAGACAAACAGACAGACAGACAGATAGACAGACAGACAGATAGACAGACAGCCAATGTATATTACTGCAGAATAATGAAAATGATGAAGTGAAAAAACTAAAGTTCAAAACTCACAATTTTAATAACCCCAACCAGACACGATGCACATATATAGAAATGTTTATGTCTATCGATATGCGTGGACATGTATAAAAAATTCACTCCTGCGCTGCACATTATCTGCAGTCATTTAACTTCATGATGATGATGGCGATGGCGATGGCGATGGTGATGGTGGTGGTGTGGAATGCCTGGTGATTATGGTGTGTTACTAATTTGTTATTAATTTTAACGTTTATTTCAGTTAATTAGTAAAGGTATTAAAAAACGACACAGGCACGGACGGAGACTTCTTATAAAACATGTAGATATATGTACGTGGTGTGCGCATGTATGTGTGGGTCAATCGGGTAACATCCCAATAAACTGACTTACACACATATACTATATATGCACGTAACTTGTTTTATTTTTTTTTTATTTTTTTTTTTTGTTTATAACATTCGTATAACGAACAGAGGAGAAAACAAACGTTGTGTGTGGCAATAAAAGGTGTTAAAAAATTATACAGCCCTCGTCGCGATGTAGTTGTTGCCTGAATGTTTTCGTGAATGAATCGCAGCAAATTATTTAAAGAACGAAAATGAGTCAATTTAACGTTTTAGTTTTTTTTTTTTCTCTTCGATATTTTGTTATAATTTTTTTTTTTTTTTTTTTTTTTTTGTTTCGTTCTTTTTTATTTAACATTTTTAATATTTACTTAAATTTTATTGAATATTTCCGGGAATTGTTTTCAGTTGTAAAACCTTTTAACATTCATTTAAAAAGTTTTTGTGTTTAAACTCCCACCACATAACATATTTGACAGTGTGTGTACTCACATGTCTCTTACATGTTAACCATAATCTTATCAAAAACCATAATTGTTTCAAATCAGACAAAAAAAAAAAACACGCAGAACGCGTCCAATACCCTTTATACCATGATAAGTTTATTCTATTCTATGTTGTTATTATTATTATTATTGTTGTTGTTGTTGTAAAATCACTGTTTTGACATTACAATAAAAATACTAATAACAATAACAATAATAAGTATTATGTATGTATATGCATGCCTTAGTTTATTTATTTACACATTCATCCATTGTCTCACACTAATAATGACATTAAATTATATTATCTGTGCTCCGTCTACGTATATGTTACTCATCAAATATTACACAAGTGACTAGCATGCGTGCCGCTCTGACTTTTACACGATTCCAAGAAATTTTCGCTGAATATGTCTATATATATATGTAAACATAAAAGTCAGTCGCAGTTCGTCTTAGTCAATATTTTATTATACATATATATATATATATATATATATATATATAAATGCAGTTCAATTTACTTTAATTGATTTGTATGAAATGCATTTGTTTACTTTACGGGAACGAGGGCTTTTTCTGCTTGCATTGTCAACTTGTATTTATTATCTGTTTGTCCTGTTTGTTGTAATATGTGCACACACTTATATGTATACATATATATAGGTGCATTCAAATACGTGTATTTGCTCTAAAGTTGTAGTTAGTTGTAGGACGCAGTTGTGATTGTTCAAGTGTGTACTGTGAGGGCTTTTTTCCCCCAAACCTCACGCTAGGATAGCTCAGCGGCTCCAAGTTTTGTTTCACAAGAAATTTCTTTTGAATAGGTGGGTTGAACCATTTGTCTTTTAGACGGTGTAAACCCAAAATGAATATCAAATTAATTTAACAAATCTAGCGCACAGGCTGTTATATTTAACTATTCATGTCCCTTATACCAAATAAAGGAAGTCTTTCAAGATATTTTATTAAATTTTCATTTTATTACAACATTTCGAACTTAATAACTTTCTCATCCGCTCGATAGTTCCGTAACGTTTCACTTTTTTTTTATTCCATTCCTTCCAATTCACTTTCTCTCGCTTACCATAGCACTGACGAACTTGACTTCAACTCCACCTTATTTCTCTTTCCGCTAATTTCTCTTCGCTTAATCCTCTACTCTATCTAATTTACTCCAGCTCTCCCCACCCCCCACCACAGAGACGAAAAATCTATGAGGCCAAAACGACGAATGACTTTGGCTCCCCGCAGTACATAAAGTGTACACTGATTTATTTTTTAAATAGACTACAATCGAAATTCCATATAACATTCATGATTGCTCCTTTCGTTGGCGGATGTAAATGTTCTTCTTTTATGTCTGGGAAATTATATTTCACATATATTCAATTTAACCTAGAATGTGGCCAAAGAAAGTGTAAAGAACTTGAAAAAATCGAAAGGCGACAACAAAGTTTACTGGAGGTATTTAAAAATTTCCTGATTAAACTGTCCTTTCATGCATAATGTGGGTAATGTGGATATCAATAAAACCTGGTAAGAAGATTATATAGTGTTTAGAGGGAACCACGGATATCCGCAGTCTCACAAAAATACTCAGAAAAAGCTAAGTTTTCTAGTGAATTGTTTATATCGAAAAAGGGGGCGGCAACGGTACAATTCAAAAGTTGGTCTAGTTGATTAAAATTTATTATCGAAATTTGCGGTTAACAGCATATCTCCCACATCTTATCAAATTTTTTATCGTACACCATTTACGCTTTAGAGTACATCAAGTTTGCGCGAAATGCTTGTAACAGCCAGAAGAACTTATCTTTTATTCTATCCATGGATCTAGATTGATTTTCGCTATCGAATTCAAGACTGTCTGTCTGTATGTCCATCTGGGGCCTGCCTTGCTTTTGAGATATTTGATAATAAATGCTTTTGAAAATTAATTGAATCGGACGCATTCTTAATCACTCCCGCCTTAGATTAAAGAAAGTCCTCATACCAAAAATATTTTCAGTATTGGAATTTTTTGGGCTGAGTACTAATATGTTTAAAGTTTTCAATTAATGTAAACCTTTTGAATCCGTTTCCATATAAACCTTCTTATCGAAGGCAAGCAAGCCTTTTTACGGCAAAAACGATTCATTTTTTTTAATAATTTACGACGAAAATTAGTCCACTGCGGTAATTTAATATAAAAATTTATTGTTGTAAATTTGGACGACGTAGGTTTATTGTTTGGACCCACAAACCATATATCGGTTCTTTTGAGAGGTAAGGCGTTATTTTGTAATAAAATGTCATTTTTAGTATTTTATGAGAAAAAGTGATGAATAATAAGATCTAAGAATAATAATTTTGCTAAATTTGGACCTAAATAGTTAACGTTTTGAACCTCTTCTCATATAAAACCACTAATAGTTTGCTATTTTGTTACAGAGATAAATGAAGAATTTAATGAAGCACTATATTGTCGGGTATTGAATAGTCGGCCTTACTCCACTAGAATGTAAAACTGATAATTTCTAAATGTTAGCAATAATTGTTTTATAAAAAGAATCCTTGCATGATAGGTGGTTCAAAAAATAATCCGATTTCGGTAATCGGGAAATCGTAAAAGTTGCAAATACTTTCATAAAAGGACTTTTGCGTAATATGGCCTCGTAGTCAACATGCTTTATGTAGACATCGCCCTTGGATGGACATTGAAATAAGCAGAGAGACGAAGGATTGACAGCCAAGCTTAAATTGATTCAGAAGAAAATGATTCAAAGTCGATTGGCATAATAGAATATGGAACTCTTTCGAATTGCTATGGATGGTTCCCTAGATCCACTTAAACCTGAAATATGTTTGCACCCATAACTAATGCAGCCGATAATAAAGCGATAGGTTTTTTAATATTGTCATAAACAACACTGTGCTCCGATATGTCTTAATACTGCAATGTGCTGACATTGTCCGTCCGTCCATCTATCTAGCAAACTTTTAAAAAAACGTGTGAGTCTTAAACTTTAACTAAGGCGGGTCAAGTGTTAACATCTGGCCATCCGCCTATCAAAATGACGTGATCTTTAAACTATAATTAAAGCGCAATAAGTGTTAGCATATTCCGTCCATCCATCCACCTATTAAAATTAAAAATACATAGGTTTTAAACTTCCACTAAAGCGAAAAAATTGAATTTATTTTCTCTTTAATTACCGTTGTCAGAATCTATCCTAAAGTCTGTTAGGTCCACAATCACATAATAAGAAAAACTGAATCTTTCTACATCGATGCTTTAAACACTTGAATTATAATTTGATCGTTGCCGGCATGATGTTAAATTATAACATGTTAAGTTTGAATAGGTATCGCACGTTATATACCTAATGTCCATGTGTTTATATAATGCCCCTAAAAATTTCCAAATTTTCATACCATTGTATCTTTTTTATTTTACGATTTACGAATTTATATATATTTCTCAACTAATCAAGTCTTCTTTTACATTTGACTCATTTATATTTTTTGTAATGAGGAGGAAAGTTGTCAATAATCGGTCAATCGACAAAGTTTTTCAAAAAATCACTAATTACATTCAAGATAAATTTCAATTATCGTTAGAAATAGTACACAAATATACATATATATATATATATATATATTGTGGACAAAAGTCTTGGAAGGACGGTAGCTTAAAACATGATATCATGCCGGCGTTACTATGTTTATGCAGCATCCATCCTGATGATCGCCTTTTTTATATATACGCTAATAGCTGGAAGTCTACGAACTTCTAAAGAAATTGACAATTTGCGTGAAAATTTTGAAGAAATGGCCCATTCGATGCTGTCTAAAGCTGACGTCCAAAATGACAGACATATGTTGATGAATACACTCGATGGCATTATTAAGCAAGTTTTCAGCAGCGTTCGAGACGAGTTATATACGCTGAAGAAGGCAATCAGAGGAGCGGAATGTCCCAATAATGCTCCCGGCAAGACGAGTGTCAAAATTCACGAACGTGTGAATTATGCATCGGAAGACTTAGGCGCAAAAGTCGTTTCAGTGATGGCACAACCACTTTACTCATCAAATTTTTTCGAATTATTACTTGGAATCAAATACTGGCCAAATCCTCCGGTAAAGATGCTCCGATCGAATATGGCGCCTGGTAATTGTTTTGCATTTAAAGATGATCGAGCTGTCGTAATGATCAAATTGCCGCGACCCGTCATGATCGATCAAATCGGTTTAAGCCATATATCGAGAAAACAATCACCAACGGGAGACGCATCGAGTGCTCCCAAAGATTTTACCGTCTTCGCTGTCACGGAAAATCGGGATGTATTGTTGGGTAATTTCCGTTACGAATGCATTCAAACTAAGTTGTTGCAAACTTTCTTTGTTCAGCCGTCAGAAAAATACGATTTGTTACGCTTTCATTTCAATTCAAATCACGGCCATTCAACTTTCACTTGTATTTATCGAATCGTTGTCTACGGAAGAGTGTAATGAATGAATGACCGTAAGATTTTGAAACGTCTATTGCTGAAAAGTTTTCTTCACTTATTTAGTTATTGTGTTTAAATGTCATTTATTACAAGCGCAAAAAACAAAAAAGGAAAAACTTTTATTGATTGTTGCTTTCCCTCAAACATTCAAGTGTCAATGTTGATAATAAATAATTCTGAATTCGTCGAGAAGTTCTGTTGGATATTTTTTGTTCATGTTGTAAGCTCTATAGATGACGCACAAGCTTCGAATGGAAAGGTGGAAAGATGGGTTTATCGGATGATAACTCCGCGCAAGCATAATATAATAATGACTGGGAAAGGAGATTAGCTTTACACCGAAGAATGTATGCAAAGATAATTCTGAGGAGACAAATACTTTTCGGAATATTTGGAGCATTTTCCTTACTTATCTGCTTTCTCTGATGCTTTAGACACAAAACATAGTGTACACTAAGCAAACTAAAATTTTCCTCTATTATTATAATTCCGGTCCTTTCTGCAACTCTGAACGTTTTTTTTTTTTTTTTCAATCAGAAAAAGGATAAGACATACATTTCCTTTTCTTATACTTTACATTAAGTTTAAACTAATTTTACTGCAGGAGGACTTGTGTTGCTGCCGGAACACCTGTACATTCCCTATAAATAGGTTATAAATGTCACATATCAAATCGTGTAGAGGTCAAGTAGCAGATTGGGTGGCAGCTTGTATTAAGGATAGCCAAGTAAATTTAAGACACTTGTCTTCCGTTGTGGTAATTTTAGTTCAATTTACTCTTACAGAAGGTCGTAGGAACAAGGTGGTCAGACATTGGGAAGACCGTTTTGCTATTTTATAAATCTTATAATTTTATAGGCAAAATTGGCCTAGACGTTTGCGGTTAGATAGGCGTCGAGATTAGTCTTTTAGCTCTTCAGACTGGCCTTTGTTATATGCTTGTCTCTTTCTTGCCTAATCTTCAGACGGGCTTAAAAACTTATCACTTCCGTTTTGCAAATATCTACCCCTTGATCTAAGAGCTAAGCTAAGCTAATTTTGAAACAACGACCTCCGCTGCCTACCTGATAGAAGAGTAGGTTGTTTAAGGATATCTGCCATACATATAGGCCCAAACTTCGTATAGGTGAAAGAAACTGAAGCCCCTAACTAACATAAGAGGTTCCCTGGGCTCTTCTAAGTTCACATTCTAATACCGATAGGTTTCAAGCTAACTAAACAGCAACACTATTACCACTAAATCTGTGCAAGTTTTCGGCTTTTCGTTACATTACATCAAGGTGTCATATCATACAAAGAGAAAAAATAATCAATTTTTCCTTTCATTTTATATCTCTTTTGCTATCATTCATTTAATTATATTTTTTTCTTTTTTATTTTTATTATGAAACCCGTTGTTTGAAACAGAAGGAGTAAAAAATTTTAATGGAATCTCGCCATAAATTCAAATTTTATTACCCCATCTTAACAACAAAGTTCACGTTATCAACATTTATTAATAAAACAGCTACACGTTGGGTACTATGTTGCTCTTCATTGCTGGCGATTTTACGCTGCTTCAACGGTAGCTTGATGACTTAAACAGAGAGATAGAAGCATATTAAAAAATAATATAGTTGTTCAACGTGTCCCGTAAAGCAAATGATGATCTTTATGATTATTATTTGGTAAATCAAATTTTGCTTTTTACAAAGTAAAAGTCGATGTCTCACAATGTGTGCATATATAGTTGAATAAAGGAATAGAATAGAGGAAAGGGACAGGAAAGATGTGAAATGAATGCATTGAATATGTATACTTTTTAAATTTCATCTAGCCATCGATGATGGGATTCTTCTTGTCGCTAATGGCAATTCAAAATATTCTAAGAGGTCTTCAAACGACCTAAAGTCGCAACAAGGCAACAAGGATGGTCGATACGTGCTTAACGTGCCATTTAAGCAAACATATCCTCGATCAATCATGATGAACTGATTTACAGTAATGTTCTTATTTAAAAATATTGCACTCTTGCAGGGAAATATTCAAGTCGTATCCAGATGGCTACATTTGCAAATTATGTGATATGATTCCCCAAGCGGGGAACTTCTTGTCATCAACTAAAGACAAGGAAAAGTTATATCGTATCGAAATCGCATATGTGCAACATGATGCTGTCTATATTCTAGTTTTCATGATTCTTTATTGCATCAAAACGGTCATCTCCGCAAAAGAGGACTCGACACAGATCAATCGCCAATGACACCAAATGTTGGCGAAAAAACAACCCAACATCATCATCCAACGTCAGCGTCATCAGCGTCACCAAGCGGTTGACGAGGAAAGGCCTTTCTATCGACGATATAATTGAGTGGACTCTAACTACAATAATGCAACGAAAGGATACGAACGCAAGAGGACTCGAACAGGCAATGACGTAACAAAAGGTAAATCGATAAACATGCACTCAACGGGTACGCTTTCTAAAATTAGTTTTTGTCTTTTCAGCTACAATTGAAAATTTCTTCATTTACTCTGGACTGTGAGAAGATAATACACGATGGAATTCGGTTTAGCAAAAATGCCAAAGACTCAGGTCTGTACACGGCCCGTTTAATTTGAGCATCTAATCAATTAATTTATTTCTAAAGCAGTTACCTAATATTTATGGTCTGTTTGCAAGTACCTGACTATTCAATAGCGTTTCCTGCTTCTTGCCTTTGAAGATCGTTGTTTGATTCTTCGAATGGTGTACGGATTCGTTAAGAGACTCAACAGCCCACAACAAACAGCGTTCTCTTCACTGACTATTATTCTACGGATCAGGTGTTGTGTTTGATTTAGTTTGGTTTTCGGGATAAGTGCGTTTGTGCGTTTGGCTTATGAAGTTTTTTTCTCTGCATTCGCCTTAAAGTAAATTTGTTTTGGTTTTTCAATATTTGCTTTTCGTATTAACATACGGTTATAATTTTCAGCTTCAACACATACATCAAGACATGAATTCAACTTGTTTGCGACGAAACAACAGAAGATATCCTCAACAAATATTAATATAAAAGGTTAAAGAGCTAGAACTAGCCTTACATGTTACAAATGTGTTTATGTTAAGATTGCAATTGTTAGACACAACACTGTATGTATTCGTATACGATATACCCTCTCACTGTAGGTATTTAAATATTATTTAATACTCTTTCTTTTCCGTTACTTACTTGCTGATAAGAGTATAATATGTTCATCGTCACTCTTGTGACACATATATATCACAAGACATATTTTTGAAGTGTTTAAAACATAATTATTATTTAGTCCGTACTGATGTACAAAGCAAATAACGAACGGCTGAATTTTACAGATCAGCATATGAAAAAAAAAAAAATTTTTTTTGCGGGACCCCATTCTAACTTTTCATGTGAGCCCTCTATGATGCAAGCACACCAATCCGCGTCATGAAAAAACAATCATATATGTAAATTATGTTCGTCGTGACCGAATCTTTTACACCCATCATCGTGATCCCAAAAAAAGGGAAAAGACCTAAATTGTCATACTCTACGATATCTTGTGGGCGCGGTTAATTTTTTCTATTCTCAGTATAAAACTGGAAATTTATATGATGTATGTGTTATACATTATGTACTTTTGCGTCTGTGCGTTATAAAGGTACGGTGAGTAACTACAGCATGGCTGATAGAATATATGTTAAAAGTTTTCTGGACTTAATTGCTGCAATTTACGAGCAAAAAATAAATTTTTGATTTCTTTTGGAAACAGAGGTGTTCTCACTTTGCATAAAACTGTAGGCATGTCCTTCGAGTCATTGAGCTTATTTTCAATATCAACCTGCGTGTAATAACTTCCAATGTTTATGGCAAATTTAAGGTCAATAGCTTCATTTTTACGGACAGACGGACATGCTTAAGACAATCCAGAATTTGATACTAATCAAAAACATATATACTTTGCGGAGAACTCTTAAGCTTTCTTGCAAACGTTTTGGTAACGTGAATGTACCCCTTATCCTGCGGAAATGGGTACGAAAAGAAAAAAATCGTTCCAATTAATTCGAACATTTGAAATTTTATAATGTTATTGCTTATTAAAAATATGATATAAAAATTAAGATATAACAAAAGAGAAATCTTTAAATATTCACAAAATCTTGTTAGAGAAGAGAAGAAGAACTCAAACGCGTTCTATACGAAAAATTCGAAAAAAAACACGAAAGAATTTAACATGAAAGACTTAAGACGCATCTTTTGATATCCACAACTCTGTTCGGCTATTCGCACAGTATGAACTTTGGCTAGATGATCGATCTACCATAAATTGCATCTTCTTTTAATATGTAATTTGAATCCTGTATGTGATCCTTATTATAATTTATTTATATGTATATATTTTACATTATTATTATCATTAATTTAGACAGAGAAGTACATTTTTGGTTAAAGCACTAGCCTCTAAGGCACTCAGTTTTATTGAAAACTGGACCGCATTTAAGATTTGAAACCACAACCGTTAGCTTATTATTGGAGATCCTTTGCTTACTTGGCCACTCAGGCCGATATATATTTTAAAAAAAAAATTTATATTAGATCTTAAAAAACAACTACTACAACATATTTATTCATTTAAATTTCTTTTATCCTTTCCTGTTATCGTTCAGCAAACTGTTTAACACTAGACCACCTATTTCAACAAAAATGGATTAAATAAATAAAAATTAAAATTTTTTTTGGTAATTGTGAACAAGTTCGTGGAGACATATTGATATGGACAATAAGTACTTGGAGCTCTTCTGATATAATTAAAAAAAATGTGTCGAACTACACATGCTTTAGGACAATTTTTTATGCTCTTTTTCGAGCTTGAAGAACGAGACAGTAAAAATTGATCTATGCGGTGGTTACACTGTTCAATTTATACTCTAAAATTATAAAATATTTCATATGCATTTGTGAATAGAACCTAGGGTACTACTAACACATGACCATAAATAATTTATTTGCTGACTTGCAACTGTAAAGCCTTAGGCCAGCTTACATACGTAATAGGCATTATAATTGGACCTACGGTAGAAGTGCTAATTACAATCGTCAACTGCCAGAAGTCAAATTTTTTCTAAAAATATATAAAAATTTTTTCTAAAAGAATCCTTAAAGGACGTCAAAGTTTACGGCAACGTATTCCAATACCGAACAAAGCAGACAATGAGCGATCCAGAGAGGTCACAGAAGTTGATATACATGATATTAATATGGAAGGGTTCCTATACAATGTAAAAAGCTCTCTCGACTAAAGAAGTAAATTTTAAGACTAAAAGAAATAACTATTAAGCCATAGACCCGTAGGGCGCTGGCTCTATTTTAAAAAAGAAAATTGACCCAGGCAGTTTCGATAAAGCAATGCATTGAATTGATATTCCGTCGATGATTTCAGAATGTCTATGGGATTAGTTGTTCCGAATGAGATTCTTCTAATAAAGGAAAATTTCTGACAGACACAAGATGTAAGTTTTGTTACAAGAATTTGCCCATAATTGCAGATCGGAGAAGAAGTCTTATTTAGGATGTTGGGGTGTGTTCCCCAAAAGTATGGCCAAGGCGATCTCTCCCAAATGTTTTGATTATATTTAGATCTGAAGAATTTTGTTAGGGCGCATTAGCAAACTGAATTTCACGTAATCGTGGAAAAAGAATTTTGAAAAGGAATGAACACAAAGGAGGAAAAATTAAGGAGCTACGCAACAAGTTAAATAGCTTCGTGAAATAGAATAAAATGAACTTAAATAAAATAAGAAAGAAAAAAATTGTAAAGATTGAAAGTCAGTTACGTACGTATGATTACGAACTAGGTTTGCTTGTCTACTATAGAGAACGAAAGACATTTCATTGTAATATTTAGGCTGCATCCCCATAACGTATAGCGTTCTTAGCTGAAAACGGCTCATAGTCGGATTATTAAAGCATTCATAAGATATCATCGATATAAGACAATTTGCCCCCCACAATAGAAAAGAGGGTCAAATTGAATTAAGCGCATAATTTCAACTGAACTGAAGGTGCTCAACATTCGTGGAATATCTTCTTTTACTGTTTGCTTAACATTAATTTCAAATCCACCTGAATATTTTACTTCCTTTCCTTTTCTTTTCTTTTTTTTGCTTTTTCCTTTTTTATTGTTTGCTCTTTATAGATAACTTTCTAAAGCAGGTGGCTTGGTTTGTATGCAATACATAGACGTGTAGGTGATCGCATGTGCATGTGAAGTAATAGAAGTGAACTCCTTTTCCTTTTGCATTTATCACACAATTCCATTAGAATGGAATGTTTGTGTATATGTTGCCTTCATTTTTAACTATTTCTATCTAATAAGATGCTTTTATGGTAAACCTATTCAAAAGGAATTTATTCAATTATTTCGATAGATAATTAAAACGAATTTCATTTAATGAATTACTTTTCGCCAAAAGGCGCGATACAACAACAATTTGTTTAAAATTAATTTTCGACTTTTTGCAATCGGTATGAAATTGTTTTTGCAATATGCAAGTATGTGACGGCCACGATCGCTCAAACGCTTCAAACATGCTTTATAGAAACAGATATAAAAAATATGTGAGTTAAATTTACATTTATTCTTAATCTGAACCTAGATCAGCTTGATGTATTTTGAGCATATGTTGCGGTTGCCTTGCAACAGAGTGAGAGAGCTTAGACGAAAGCGACGGGTGCATGTGGTTTGTTGTGGTCCTGAATATAATGAAACTCGCATCATCAACTCGGAGACTATAACGAATATGTCGCCGAAAGATTCCTGGACAATTTTTGTGATCTATCAGCCTAGACGTTATTAGGTTGAGCTAACTCTTATGCATTTGTTTGATAGCATTTCCAAAGAACTGAGCATTGACCAGATGTCCTTATCGTTTTTTTCCCTAAATAAAAAGGTAGAAGCAGAACAGGCATTTCGGTGCCTCGGTCTGATGCGGATCCTAACCAATTAATATCCGAATTTTCTCGATTATTAGAATATTCGTAGCAAGCACGAATGACGGTCAACGGCCTGCTGATACCTTCGAATAATTATATATCACCATCTCTCTATATGTACGTATATAATGTTACAAAAGAGAGGACAAAGCAAATATATTTGCCTTCTTTTTATGGTGTACATGTTATTTTTAATATATATATATATTTATGAGACCATTTAAGATTTAAGTAAACATGCAATGCCATATACATTGTAGCAAACCCATAAAGTGTTAGTACTAGTGCAGAAAAATCAGAGCAGATCCAAATACTTTGCAAGAGTAAAACAAGAGTGTGAAG